CTTGTTTAGTACGCCAATAATTATCAATCTTATTCACTATAAAATACAGCGGGTAGAAGCGAAGATATTACGGCAAATTAATTGACGTTGACATTGATTAAGTGCTCCTTTTGTGCATTCGTGTTGAATTATAGTCATCTATTTGACACCAGACGGTTCCAATGATTGGATGTTCTATCGCTCAAGAGGTACCAACGGAATAGCGGATCGCCTCGAGAAATTAAAAACGATCTATCAAAATTTGGGTTTGACTAATTTATCATCTGAAAAATATTGAAGTAGCAGTAACAGATTTTAGGTAGTAAATGGATTTAATTACTAAGGCAAATAAATAGTGGTTAAGTAAACTAGTTTTTTTTTATCGTTAGATGTATTCTCAAGCAAATTATAGCCTATTTCATTAGAATTTTTAAAATAGCATTGTAATTTTGGAGCCTATTCGACGTAAATAAAAAAAACGATCATAATATTGTATTTAAAATCATATACTGAATTGATTTCAACAATTTCTAATGTAAGTTATTTTTTTTTCAAAATTTCATTGAAATTACGTAAATTATGATCACTTGTACCCATGACACTCATAATATACAAAAAATAAATTAAAGTTATTGAACAAGTTTTTTTTTAAATGCACTGTATTCTTTGCTTCTTTATCCAGCAATACTAAAAGAAATGTTGTCTTACTCTTTTGTTTTTTCGTCTACGCGTTATTTCTTTTATGGTTAATAAAAATACTTCACAAAAATTTGTTATTCCCTGAAGATTATCGATAAAAGTTTGAAGTAGCTTTAGAGCCTGTAATTTACGTTCGCTGGTTACTCCTGTGTCTAATCTCTTTTCTACATCTTGTAATTTGAGATAGGTATTTGCAATCGACAGCTGGCGTGGAGGCTATTAGGCTGAAACCGCAGAGCACAGCAGAAATCATGGTAAAATTAAACCAAATTTTTAGAAGCTCGGTAGCGAGGTGGATGAGCGCCGCGGCCCGCGATCGTTGTTGTTAAGCAACTTTGGCAAGAGTCGGTCATGTAATGGGTGACCAAAAAATTATAACCTCGAGCCGCTACATGCATCGCAGATCACGTTAATCCATTGACCCACGCTACATTAGCAGTCGCTAATGCTCTCCAATCTACACTGGGCCAAAATGGATATCATGGCCCTCTTTAGCCATCCATAAGGAAGGCCTGAGCCCCTGCAGTGGGGACATAAAAGAACTGATGATGATGGTGAACCAAATTTTTGGTTATCTTGATAACTAACCGAATTATAATATTCGGTTGATAATGGTTACATAATCAACTGCCAACTATAAATATTGGTGCTGTGTTTGTATTTTTTATAATTTAACGTAATTTCAAATAAATATGGTACTTTGAACAAAATTCACAGGAAGCGTCAAGGTCTTTTAGTAAGCGCCATGCAAACTGGCCACGCGCAAGTTTGCGTCCCGTGCCCCGATTGATATTCAACACAATTTTGCATTAAACTCGCGATGCGCTTATGGTATTTAACTAATATTGTAATCCATGAACGCCTATAAATAATAACAGTGAAAGAATGAACACAAAACCATTTATAGCTCAGAGTCATATCAAGCGATCCAAGAGAAAAGTCTTTATACAGAGTTATAATTAAGGAGATTTTCTTCCCGAAGAACACATTCCACGTCTCACTTACGCTTACGCTACACATCTGCTTAATGTGATAATGACTACTCAGAGAAAAATGCTCATGATTTAATTTTAAGCCGCTAGCGACATCTAGCGGTGATAATCAATCCATATCAAGCACAGTTAAATAATTAGCTTCGTATCTACTCGTGATTTTAGAGTCATGTATACCAACATAATAAAAAATGGACCTCCAAACCCGCAATATTCGAAAATTACCATTTAGTTTTTCAACACATCTCGTATAGCTGTATAAGCAAATTCTTATACTATAGCTGCCGGCGAAAGAAAAAAAGAGACAGAACAATATTTTATTTAGATAAAAATCCGTATTCAAGATCTTATGTAACAGTTAATGGGCACATTAATAGGCTGATAATAACGATTACGTTAATGGAAAAGATTTATGTGCAATTAATGTTTGTGTGCCTACTCGTTAAGTCGTTTGTCGAAGGACATTAAGAGCACGGTATGATGTTCATTTTTTTAAGCTCCATGTCTTTGCGAATGTTACCATTGAAGTTCGCAATTTATAAATCATGGAGAAGTAAACTTTGATATATCGCAGCTGGTCACAGTATAAGTTTTGACATTATTCAACATTTTAAAGACCGTGTACGGTAAAGAAATATATTTGCCTATGAAAGGGGCGAGTGGTCAAAACCGGGTCACTATATTTAAATAACGGTTTCGTTGCTGTAAATCATAGATGCCTATTTTGTAAATAAGAAAATGTTCGCCAGCTTAAATTACAATAGCCGCGTACGATGAAACTCCTAGTGGATGAAAGATTTTTTTAAATCGATCCAGTAGTTTCGAAGCGTATTCAATGCAAACAATCAAATATTTTCTCTTTATAATATTATAGCTGTTGTCCCTTAAAATATAGTAAATTATAACCTATAAAATAAAGTAAATTATAACCTATAGCAACCCCGTATAATGTAGCTGAAAGAATTCCAGCAGTATCGGAGCCTATACATAATATATAACCGGTTTTTGATAAATAATGCTGTGAGTTGAAAACTAACTAGACTAATAGAAAAATAATAATTTTAATGTGATGCACATTAAATACGCTTACAAAATTTAACATATGAGTTTAGTAGCCTTTATAGACTAACGTATTAGAATACTGTGCCATTCCAACTAAAAATATACATATGTATTAGTAATTTACTTTTTATGATCTCGAATAAGAAACATAAAACACTTATCCAAAGAGTCTGGTAAAGCATTTAAGCACCTCTTTTCTGTATTTTGTGAACGAAGCGGTTCTTGTCAACAGAGTATTAAAAATGTATGTTCTGGAATGCAATATATCTTTCCATGAACATGCTTGATTATTTTTTTTCATCTCTAGGGAGTTATTTGCCTCCATCTTGCCTACGATTCATCATCATTATATCTTTATCATCAATCTATTAACGTCTTAACTTCCCTTCCAAATGGATATAAAAATATTAACGTTTCTACTTATAAGAACTCTATACTGTGACATGCAGTAGCGTTGGAAGACAAGACCATACGGCTCCGATTCTCAAAAAGTTATAATATCTATAATAAAAAATATTTCAAATCTACAGCAATTCTGGTATAAAAACAACATCTGTCTAACTCGACATCGATCGCAGCGCTTATAATGTAAAGAAGTTCAATCAAAACGTATGTACTTCATATGAACTTATATGTTTTATTTCATTGGAGCTTTACGTTATCACAGCGGTGCGTTCTACGTCAAACTCGAGGCTATCTTTTAACAGCATTAGCATAGCAGGCAATAAATTCACAAACTATTATACCTACCTTGGACAAAATATGTAGAACGGCCAATGTGGTCTTAGTGCAAACGTCTTCTACTGTTAAGGATGTTAAAATGTTAAAAAAAAATTGTAGATGTGGATGCGCTTCAATACATAATATAACAAAAACAATGACTTTTATGTCCAAAAAAAAGGAGTGAATAGGATTATATTATATATGTGAGTTTCTTTACTCCACCATAACTTTTGAAAGATTAATCGGATATTAATGATTAGTATATTATTAGAAACGTTTACGTCATAACGAGTGACACTGACTTTGTATAAAAAAATATTAAATATGGCAGAATCTCGAACATACTAACATGTATACATACTTAACTGCTCATTTAAAGGAATAAAATAAAAATATACATTCCATTTAATCATAGTCAGCTGTTTTACGCCTCCACTTTATGGGGACAGATCTTCCTTATATATGGATAAGAAGGTAGGGTTACCCTCCACGCTGGCCCAATGTGGATTGGAGGGTATTAGCGACTGCAAATGCAGCCGGTACCAACGGCTTAACGTGCCTTCCGAAGCACGGATTGGCTAGAGATAATAATTTTTGGTCACAAAGCTACTACATTTTATTTTGCCAAGCCAAAATAAATACAATTTTAGCAGTCATGTTTTATTTTATAAATTAATTTTGGAATAACAATGCCTTGCAACTTCTAAATTATAAATCAAGTCAACAGTTATTATGTAATGTTGATTACTAATTACTGTTAACAAGATTAAAGATTACATGTGTAGTATTCTTAATGAAAAATGTTTGAAAATCTACTTTGTGTCAGACAGGGGTCTGAGATGGAATTCGAACCTACGACCATTCGCGAACCGGGCAACTGCTCTAACCGAGCTACCCAGGACCTAACAGGACTGACGAATTTTTCAAGCACTGGTTACCTACTTTTTCGCTACTACAGAGCGTACTTTCATCAATGTTCCGGCAACCCACCCAAACAGCCGAAAGAAATATTTTGAAAAATATTTAAACTTTAAATAAAAATGAAAATTTGTACTAATTATTATGTTTGATTAATTTTGTATTCACAATGCTAAACTGAAAAATAATCTTAATAAAAGAAGAAGAGATAAGTGAGGTTAGAACAGCCACCCGGATTGCAAAATGTCATGGGTTCGAATCCCATCTCAGAGTGCCAGAGACAAAGTGGATTTTTAAGCGTAATTAATATGTGTGATTCAAACTGACTTAAAGTAATAATGATTATTTGTAATCCAATTATACAAGAATTGGATTAATAATCTGCTTACAAATACGGTTTCTGAATTGAGAAAAGTACAAAATCTCAACCAATTACAACTAGAGCTTTTTACTTTTCACAACGCAAAATGAACTCTATCAACTGATCATTAAAAAACTAAAATCAGAAACAAAAACATGTTTAAGTGACATGTAAGTACAGTTTGGGACGTGCTCAACTAATTACTCAATTCAGAAACCGGGTTTATGCCTAACCCTGACCTTTACTGACCTTATCTTTTATTTCAGTCTGTGTCGGTGACTGTGTCAGTTCTGACGCTGACCTTCATCAGTGTGGACCGCTGGTACGCCATCTGCTTCCCACTCAAGTTCAAGTCAACCACTGGACGGGCCAAGACCGCCATCCTTATCATTTGGCTGTTATCACTATTGTTCAGTGAGTATACTATCTTTATGAGTGCTTAGAAATATTCTGGCTTGTCACCGCTGGCTTCTACAGAATACCAGTTGCCAGAACACGTTCGCAGTTTACAGAAGACCACAGTCCTTTTTTTGGGTGATGTCCGTTCATCCGTCTGTCGCCAGGCTTTATCTCATAAACATTGATAGACAGTTAAAATTTTCACAGATGAGGTATCTTTATTGCCACTAAAACAACAAATGCCAAAAAATCAAATAGAATCATTGCGTTTTTCATAGAAAATGCTATGGAACCCTTCATGCACGAATCCGAGTCACACTTGAACTTTTTTGTATTATCATGATATACACATATCTCTTTAGTAGCTAAGAGATCTTTATTTTATTCTCTAATGTATTTTTATAAAAAATAAACGAAAGTAAAGTTAAAACATGAACGAAGTACTAAGTAATAATATACGTTTAATATACCGAGTCATAAATTCTTTTATCAACTTCTTGCCATATTACAGAAAGGATATATCACGATTAATGTCACGAACCTTTATAAATAATTCGTAAAGAAAACCCAATACATTGTTTTATTATTCCGTATCCATTTTCGCAGGAAATGTAAACAGAATTTATAACTTATTTGTTTATTTATTACAAACGACAGGACCTTTTATTATTTCACGAATAGATGACAAGATCTTAAAGATAATAAAATATTATTAAAAGAAAAATACTTCATAAATATTATATTTAAAAAAATACTTCTAAATTTGGTAATGTATATTTTCCTGATTTATTTATATAAAATATTTAAGTATATGGGAATCCTTTATATCTTTGATATTTACTTGTTTTTCTATCAAGATAATATTATTAATTTTATACTAAAAAAATGTCACTTCATCTTAAAAACGTGCAGCATACAAAAACAACCTATCTAACTATCATTTATATTATGTACATTAAAATTTATAATGAATTTACTACATAACTAATTCCATACTTTTTAAAATCAAATCTAATCAAAAAATGCCTACCGATAACATCATTTCCAAATTATAAATGAAATGAAGTTTTAATTTTTATTCTATAATGTATAAACGGTTGAAAAGTTCACACTCATTAGAATTAAGTTTAAGTCTGTTTTTTGAATACATTTTTTTTCCTTAAATAATTCTTCAGAAACAGGACTATTTATATAACATAATTCAAATCACTAATTTGATCAATAAATAATGGCTTATGGAGTGATAACAACACCAATCTGTATGCATAACATCACATTTTCACAAATAGAATGCTATAATACCATGAATGAATGAATCATTCAAAATGGTTACACATTGCGCGTAAATGTATACATGATCTCTAAATAAATCATAAAAGGAACTCCTTGATGAGATTTCAATAAATGTTCCAAGAATTACAGAAAACATTTTGCACACGTGATTAATTTTCTAATAACATTTATATGAAAATGTTATATTGCATTATAATAATAACGAGGCAAGCAGTCTCTTTCATCTCATGTTAGGGAAACAGAAGAGACGTTTAATTAATTTGTCTTTTATGACAGCAAAGAAATCTATACCCATGGAGCCATGTCTTGAGTTATTTATTCTATCTCTTTTCGATTTGCGCTCGTAGTCTCACTGTACATGTTTATATTTCTTTATAACAGTTCAATATTATTTTTATATTTCATTCAATAATTTAGTTTAAGTTTTCAAAATAGCTTTGGCTAATATCGACTTTGTTTAATTTAGTCAATCTTAATAAAATTTAGAAAACTACAACAATCATTACCATTGATTAAATATGTAAAACATAAGTTAATAACATTTTAAATAATATAAATATGTTTATTGATAAAATCAATAAATATTTTTACTGTGGTTACACTTATAGCGAGAAAGTGTTAGGGTAACGGTTTCCCAAGCGAACTTATATGAATCTATCTTTATATATTTTTTATGAACAGATATACCGGAATTCGTGATGCTGCAAGTGCAAAGGAAAATGCAGCTCCGTTTCAACGTACAATACTTCATGCAGTGCGCGTCCACCTGGTCAGATGACAGTGACCTCAAATGGCACATCATAAAGGCACTTTTTCTCTACACGTAAGTATACATTTGTTTACTTAATGGAAGCAATCCTTCTTTGACTTAGCACGAAAATTATCGAGTGTAAATGGAGTTAAACCAAAAAAGAAATGCCTAAGTACCAGTTAATCTAAATATTATTTGACATTGTGTATCAATGTACATATATGTATCAATTTACATGTATCTAAATTTTTATATAGATTAGTAAACGTGATAACCGTGAACGTCCCAACTTCTCGAACATAGTCTTTGCCCATGAATGAAAGTTTTGGATGAATTGCCTGGAAATTGTTGAAAATACGCACAATAGTAGCGAAAAGTAACGAGTGCTCGAAAAATTCGTCAGTCCTATTGGATATCCGGTAGCTCAATGGCAAGAAGAGCCGCTAGCTTGCGAAAGGTAGTGATTTCGAGTCACATATCCGGATATCTAAAACTGGTGTATTTTTTTAGCATTTTTTGATTAAAGATATAATAAAATGAACATTTTATTCTTATATAAATACTCTAATCATTTTGATGAAACTAGTTTCACACAACTAATTATACCCCAATTTATATGGCAAAACTAGTCTCGCGACACCTTTATACACGTTGTAAGGCTCGACGTTGACGAAACCAATGTGTACTGTTGATTGCACGCCATTACGAAAGTTTCACGTGTGCCGAAATTAGTTTCGTTAAATAGTTTTACTGGTTTTGTTATGTAAATTCGGCTTAAAATTTGGTATGGAATTTCAGTATCGAATCCTAAAACGTTCAATTTCTACCAAGGTTCCCTTTGCTACTAATGACGATCGCCTACTGTCAGATCGTGAGGGTCCTCTGGAGATCTGACAATATTCCTGGTCACACTGAATCACATAAACTGTGCACAACCCCAACTGGTCAGAATAACTGTAAGTATTTTGTTCTTTATATAATTATCATTAAGGATTATTCATTAACACTTTCTTTAGTTATCACCTCATGACCCATACATTGATTAATGAGTTTATTTATATTCATTAAAAATTAATTGCTTTTTTAATTTATATATTTTGTCAATCATTTTGGTTTGTTTTTCTTTTCGAAATAACATTGTTAGTATTAATTCATTTTGTAAATTCTGTTCAACTTTAATGATCCAGTAAATAAAAACAACCAAGAGCATTGATAAAATATGTCAATAATAAAAAACGATTAATATTAAAACAATATCAACAGACTCATGTGAAACAGCTATAAAGCGTAGGTTATAGCTACGACTACGGCTACTTCCATAAGTTAGCCGGTCGCGCCGCTGCTGTGTACCGCCCGCACACAAATTCACATGTACAAACGGCAATCAATCTTGTAAAATCACCACTCTACACGTGTTTCCTGAGAATGATCCGTGGAGGGGCAAAAGAGGGACCAGAATTTGTGTGCGGACGGTACATAGCAGGTCTTGCGATTACTAACTGGGTGTGGAAGATGCAAGATATCATAGATTCAAAGTTATAGATATTACAGTTTCTTATTAGAATTGATCAAATTTAGATTTGCTTTATTGATAAGTCTTTTCCTCATTTCCTAATCACTACATTTCAAAACCGTAATCGTTCGCGATTAGTTAAAAAAAGTTTTCGTCACGCAACACGCCATCATCTTCTTGGCCAAATTCTTGGCCTCTTTTCTTCTTTACGTCTAATTTTAACTTTCTCTGTACCTATGTACTTATGAAATTTTAAACTGGTTCGAACTTCCCACAGCGATAAGTCAAGTTAACTCGCTACTCAAATAGCTTTTTCAGTAGGATGAAAGCAAATGAATTGTAAATTTGAAAGTTACAGCGATTTACAAGTGATCTCACGAGTATAAATAACTCTTAAAAGCGATATTGGAATTTGTTTGATTTTGTTGTACTTGACCTCTGCAAAGCTCGCGGTTAAGAAAGGTCCTAAACAAATACGCTACATAAAATTAAATAAAAAGCTTCTCTGTAAATACCTACAGTACTTGTAGTCAAACCCAGTGAGTGCTGCGTGCACTGTTTTAATGTTATAAAATTATAAATGACAATAATGATTATGATGCCTGGGTAAAAAAAAAAGAAATTCTATTTAGTCCGTCAGTTATTCTATTAGAAAAATATTAGATACAAGTTTTTTGCTTTATATGTATTAAAATTAAGTAGTATGAACTTAATTATGTAGAAACCGAAAGGTGTGATGGTGTTATATCATGACCATTACTGAAATACTAATAAAAAGTATATAACGATAAAGTTTAAATGGCCTAAAAGTTCTCTTTCACTTTCGAACCAACTTGGTAATTTGTCTAACTAAAGACATAAAATTATAATAAAAATAAAAACCTGCCTGCGTGAAAAACAACTAACTGAAATGGCTGAAATGAGATCAAAAATGTATGCAACATTTTACATAACATGCAGTCGGATGCATGCACAAAGAGAGAACGATTTGACTTATTATTCAATTTCATGCCTCCGACTGCATGTTATGTGTATGATGTTGCATATATTTTTAATCTTGTTCCAGCCTTTTCAGTTAGTTTATTTTCACGGAGGTGGGCTTTTACCTGCATACAATGTACACATTGACTCGCACGCCCTCTGTTCGTTTGAGTTAGTACTTCATTTATTTCAGCAACCACAACCTTTGTAAGATCCGAATTCATTACAAAATAAACAAAAATGTTCTAGATTTCTTCGTGATTATTGACAATGATTTTTTATATAATACGGAAACTCCTAATAAGTTTTTGTTTAATTAGAAAAAACATCAGTGATCATGTTTCAAACAGTATTGCCAACCTAGTCTACCCATTTAAACTCCCCTTTCAACGCATATATTTTTTATTTGTTGTTATTTTATACGAAAATATTTTGTTTTTATTTGTTGTTATTTTATACTATGCGTTAAATTTACAATGATTTACCATTGAGGCAAGATATTTTTTGCTTAAAGAAAATCTGATTCAAAACTATTTCAGCATTATAATGTGGGTAATTCTATAATAATTAAATACTGGTATCCAGTCGTTTGAAATAATTTTCTTGTTTCTAATATTCTTTGGCCACAGTATTTGTATTATGCAAGATTTTATTGTTTTTATTTATGATGTTCTGAAAAATTATAAGATGCGAGAAATTATGCGTATACTGTTATGCGTAAAATTAATTAGAGCAAACAGTAGTTCTTCTTCTTGAAGTGCTTCACTAACTAGTGGAGGTTGGCAGTCAGCTTAATGTACTTTGTTCTATCTTGGACAAGACGAAAGAGCTTTAATGCAAATAAATAGGAATACCTTCAATAATGTTTCGTATGAATAGTGTTCAAATAAGGTTATATATATATATTTTTTTTTTTTTTTTTCAATGTTTCTATATATATCTTCACGCCGTATCACTGGGGTAGGCAGAGAGGATCGAATGCCACGATGTACAGTCCTTATATACATCTTTCGTATCATCCACTTTCATTACACTTTTCATCTCACCGGTTTTTATTTTTTGCTTGCATAATAATAAGTAAATAAATGCTTAATAATAAATAAATTAAAAGCGAAACATTATATTATACTGTCATTTTTAGTTTGCAAGTTCCTGATAAAGCAGCATATTAGATTATTAGCAAAGACATCAGATTAATACAAAAGACTAAAGTTCTACTACTAATCAATCTTGAAGTTATTAATGAATTAAAATTGACTTGAGTTTAGCTTTTTGTAGTAACATGCCGTCGTCTAACCGCCTTAATTAATGGTTATTAAAATTTGAATTAACTTATTATACCCACCTTGAAATTATATACTGTATTCGAAACTTTGGAATTTAATTTAGTTTTTTCAAACAATTTGTTTTTGACTTTACTGAGCTAATATCATTAATTTAACTATGTGATAATTATAACTTTTTTGTCAAGGGTTAGCTGTAAACCGTCGAACAGCGCCATCTATACACGCAAATGCATCAACCGAAGGACAATTGCGTTCCCGACGGAAAGCTGCCAAGATGCTAGTGGCTGTCGTTGCTATGTTCGCTGTATGCTACTTTCCCGTTCACCTACTATCTGTATTGAGGTAATTTTTTATAAAAACTGCAAAATTATTTATTTATTAGGATAGTTACAATGTCCTTGCAGGATTAAGATTCATCCATCCGTGTGAGGTAAACCGTAGGGGGTATTATCCGGTAGTCCAGTCACACTAACCTGCCCTTTTCAGGGCGCGGTGGTTCTTTGCAACCTTCTGGACCAATTTTAAAAATTCGCTCACTTACGGGAATCTACATCATATGCAGTAAACTTCAGTAAGTCTATAAATATTTTATCCCGAACAGCAAATAAAGGGATGAAAATGGAAGTGGAAATTTGTAAAGGGAATTAAAACCTTACCATACTAACAATTGTTTACTATTCAATTTGTCATTATTATAATATTCTTATGATAATATGAATTGATATCCAAATAAACAGTTCCCTAGGGACTACACGGGCGAAGCCGCTGGCGAAAAGCTAGTAAATAATATATAGTAAAACATTACGTTTCTTATGAGAAACATATAAATTATTAAACAGATCTCTGTTTCCAAAGCTCATTTCTTCGCAATAAAATAAAACTACCTACTTCTCGAACTTAATACCTACTTCTCGAATTATCAAATACTGAAACTTTTTTTTTACTGTAATAAATTTCAGTAGATTCAAATAATGCTTCAAAAAGGTTTTCCCACTTTTCCGATCCAGTTGGATTTTATCAAAGCAACAAATCTTACGATATCTCTAAGGAGGAGAGCCCTAAAGTTCTTGTGGTCAAATCGGATAGAAATCCCGTGATAATTCTTGTTTTCTGCACTTAAACTTGGTTTTTTGGGACAGAGCCAACAAGATAACAACATAAGAGACAGCAAAGATATTTATATTTAATCAAAACAACCTTTCGAGACTTATCTCGTGAATCTTATTCGGGTGTTCATCGAGGATTCATAGGCAAAATTAATTAAAAGAATTTTCCAGAGAAGAAATCATATCAAAAAGTATCAATATTTATAAGAAAACTTTATTTGAGTAATTTTCAAAATAAACGCAATATATCTAAGTCTAGTGTTAATTTTGCTTAAACTATTTATACCTGTAAATAATTAACACTTGATATAAATTTACTTAAATCAATTCTATTTAAAAACAGCTTAAAGAATTCAAACAAACCAAGTTCAGGAAAAAATAAATTAAGTAACACTCGGTTGATATTTAAATTAAAATTATTCTGCTTGCACTTATAAGTCTTAAAGGCAGTTATCGATTAAAATATTTTTTAACTAAAAATAAATATTTACATGATAATAAAGTATGTGATGATTAGCGATTAGAAAACATAATTTTTATATTTATTTAACTATATTTTGAAATCTGGCAAAGTACAGTATTTGTATAAATGCCAATGTCGATCTACATTATTTTTTCTTGTAGAATAAAGAGTTTATCCAATTATTTTTATTTGTACCTCAAATCTATACTTTATGTTAGTTAAAATATTTTGATTGCACCTTCAAAAAATGAAATAGAGAGCTAGTGGAGTGGGACTGTATTATGAAAAAGAACTATAATAATGGACTAATAATGGGTTTATCAAATAAAATATACAATATAGAACACAAGTACGCCACAAAGAATCGATGACAGTTAAATTTATATTAAAGGTCGACAATATTTATGTAGCTCGGTAGCGTAGAGAATAAGCGCCGCGACCCGCGATCTTTGTTGTTAAGCAACTTTTGCAGGGGTCGGTCTCTGGATGGGTGACCAAAAAATTATTATCTCGAGCTACTTCGTGCTTCGGAACGCACGTTAAACCTTTGGTCCCCGCTGCATTTGCAGTCGTTAATATCCTCGAATCCGCATTGGGCCAGCGTGGAGGGTCATACCCATCCTCCTTAACCATTCATAAGGAAGGCCTGAGCCCCTGCAGTGGGGACGTAAAAGGGCTGATGATGATGATGATGATGATGAATATTTAAGGTGCAATCATTTTGATTGCACCTTCATTTTATATTTTACCTTCATCATTTTACATAACATAAAGTATAGATTTGATGTACAAATAAAAAGATTCAAACGCCCTATAGTCAGTCGTACTAAATTAATGTCGGGAAAAACAGCTTAATCAAAATTACAAAATATAATGTATATATGAAATCCATTTTCTCTAAACTTACACAAAATCTGTGTGGCATCAATAGGGCCAGATTCAAATTCGCCCTAAATTTACTCAAATTACAAGCGTCAAAAAAGTGTCCAAATTGCCATGAGAATGAGATCAAACGGCGAAGAAAAATGCGGCGACTCCAAATATGTAATAACTTAATATAGACCAGGATGTCACTCATATATTGTCCTTGAACCCTCGATAAAGGACCATGTTAAAATTGAGACGTCTTCTTTAATAAACATAATCTTAAATAAACTGATTGCTATGAATAGTTTAGCTTTAAAAGTAGAGATGCCAATATCTCTAAATTCCATACCGTAATCTTGTAACAAAACGTATATTCGCCATTGTCCTCCTGATGTAAGACCATCAAATGATATTATTTATTTATCCCATCTATAGGACATTAAGTTCCAAAAAAACACGGTCTTCACACCACTCCTGCTAAACGTGCATAGCACTTTTCACGGATGGTACTCTCTATTTGCGCCTTACTCTCTCGCTAGCCATAGTATATATATAGAAATGTTTTTTGATTTTTGTAATCAATTAAACTTATAATCAAACGTTTTGGTATATTATATTTTTATGTTCATTATTATTTATATATTTATGTCAATATTTCAGGTTATTTAAGTTTTCAAAATAACTTTCTTTAAAATCATCTTTTTTTAATTTCGTCAAACTTAATTTATTTCAGAAAACTACATCATCCAAAATCATTGATTAAATATGTTAAAAATTAAAACGAAAAGAAGATAAATGTTTTAATTGATAAAACCAATAAGACGTTGTAGCTATGGCTAAATTTACAGCGAGTTAGGCGGAAGCTCTAAAAGTCCTATTGCTTCCCTATTTTACTCTGATGTAATGCGATATTTATGCTTTTGTTTCGTTTTATCTTTCTAAGGGTGGCCTACGACGTACAGCAGACTGATGTGATGACCTGTATCGCGCTCATCTCTCACGTGATGTGTTACGCTAACTCTGCAGTTAACCCGCTTATCTACAATTTCATGAGCGGTAAGTCCATCAATAACCCTTTTATCTGCTTCGCTTTTTCTTTACTCTTCAATACCGTAGTTTATATTATTCATATCATAATAATAATATGCATCAATTTTATTATCTTCAAAGAAACTAATTATTTTGATATCTTAAGAACGTAATATCCTATTTTAATTTTTTTAACTATGAAACATAAATCATTGACAGTATATATTTTAAATGCTTTTCTAATAATCTATAAACATTATCAGTGCTATAAATAAACAAGGTTTATTATCGTCAAAGTAAATTTACGTTAAATTGCAATTCTAGTATCCTTACCGACCTTACCACCCCAACGGCCGTCAGTCCTGCGAGCGATGCGCCCTGCCCACTGCCACTTGAGGTGTACAATTCTTTGGGCTATGTCAGTACTTTCGTTCTTCTGCGGATCTCATCATTTCTGATTCTATCCCTCAAAGAAACCCTGAGCATAGCCCTTCTCATTGCCCTCTGAGCGACCTCGAGCTTCCTTATGAGGCCCATCGTAAGCGGCCACGTCTCAGTTCCGTATGTCATCAATGGCAACACGCACGAATTGAAGACTTTCGTCTTGAGACACTGCGGTAGATGTTCCGAGAATACTCTGCGTAGCTTCCCGAGCGCTACCCAGCCGAGTTGGATCCGTCGATTTACCTCTCTCTGGAAGTTGGACTTACCTAATCGGACTATTTGTCCCAGGTATACGTACTCATCGACAGCTTCCAGTGTAGAGTCTCCAACATTCACTGGAGTGGCTACGACATGGAAGTTTAATTATTTTCGTCTTCTCCATGTTCATTTTCTTCGAGGTCTTCGAGCATTGTGCCTAGATCTTCCATGGTCTTAGCCATAGCTACGATATCATCAGCGAAACGAAGGTGCGTCATGTACTCGCCGTTTATATTGATGCCAAGTACTCTCCAGTCCAAAAACTTAAACATGTCCTCCAGTGCGGCAGTGAACAAACAGTTACGGCAATATAACATCGCCCTGTCTCACTCCACGCTGAAGTCGCATTGCTTTCGAGGTTTGGTCCTGGAGGCGAACTGACAAAGTTGCGTTTTCATACAGTGAGTGCTACACTTGGATGTATCGATAGTCTATTTGGCACCTCTGGAGTGACCTAAGCATGGCCCAGGTCTCGACGGAGTCAAAGGCTTTCTCATAGTCAACAAACGCCAAGCACATTGGCAGAAATATTCTCCTCGGTCTTCTGTATAACCTGTCGCAGCGTATAAATGAGGTCTATGGTACTGTAACCTTTTCGGAAACCAGCTTGTTCGGGAAGCTGGAAGTCGTCAAATCTACGTGCGAAACGATTCGTGATGACCTTCGAAAACAGCTCGTACAGATGACTCAGAAGCATGATGGGTCTGTAATTCTTCAATTGGGCCCTGTCGTCCTTTTTGAAGAAAAGCACCACTACGCTCCTGTGCCATGCTTCTGGCGTCTTGCCCTCGTGTATGGCGGAGTTAAATAGCTTCTGAAGCGCTTTACGAACCCGCTTTCGAAACCACGTACTAGGTTAATTTTTGCTAATTACCTGTTTGATAATATGAATTTTGACTAATACTAAGTGCAATATCAGCATAAATTTACTCCAACGCTAAACCTTGTTTATTAATAACACTGTATGAGCCTGAATGGACTTTCTCAGAGAACTATTAAATCTCATTTAAATTTCTCATCTGATTCGTTTTGTAATTTTGATGTACATTTTTAAAAATTAAATTATTTTTTCTCCTCTTCTCAATATGTTTGTTATAGCATTATTGCGAAGCTTTTTTTCTAGCATTGGCACATGATTGAATAAATGAATGAATACTTTTATTGTACACCATAATTAATGGACCCTGAGGTCCAGCTGCAGTTTCAAATTAAAACTCACTTTTAATACTAATAAGATATTTAATCGACTTAACAATTTTAGATATAGAAACTAAATTTTATAATAATCTAAAAGAATATCCAATGTACTCGTGAATGAGCCCTAAAATTCAATCCATAAAATAAAATTATGATCCTCGTTGATAGATAAGCAAGTACAGTTTAATTACAATTTTAATTAAATCCTATTTTGGTTGGACGGGGTTCAGTATAATTTATTTACGGCTCTATCGAGATATTTAACATTTTAAAGCGTTCGCAAATTGAAAAAGCCTTTTAAATGGAAATTGCTCTTTTCATATTGTTATTCAATGAACAAGTTGTCAGTCGTTAGGGTTCGTTTCGATGCGTGTAATTTATGATATTTATCTGCATATATTATAATTTTACATGTGGTACAATATATTTTCGTAAGTCGACTTATAAAGGAGTAGTATATAGCATTTAAAAAGGAAACACCGATATTTTCAAATCAAACCGCTATGTACCGATATACAGTACATTTTAATTTATTTTTATATTGTTACTTTAAAATATACTCTATGGTTAAAGAGCTGCCTTAAATAATAATTGTTAATTTTGCTATAAAAAAATTTCGCTGACTGAAACCTCACGCATAAGGGTGAGATAAGATGGCGAACTCACTCTCATTGTGATCTGGCATTTACTTTTATTAAATTCTAGGATTCCTTAAAAAGAAAAAGTCTCTTATACGATCGCTTTGTAGTCCATCTGTCAGGAACTCAACACCTCATTAAAATGAAGCAGAGACAAAAATCTGTCCCTGTCTAACTGCATCTGACAAAAAGGAGTTATCACTTGACATCGCGATCTCCACGAATTGTAATAGCAACCTCTTTGTCATGCTGCACGTTAGATTTCAATCTTTGTTAGATTTCAAATATTCATGAGATACAGCCTAGTGACGGACGGACGGACAGCGGAGTCTTATAAAAAGAATCCCGTACCACCCTCTGGATAGGGAACCCCAAAAATATGTTTTTTTGCAACTTCGATCACCAGGTTATTCAAATTCCATATTTCTATGTCCACAAATAAATCACCGAAGTGAGCAAAGTAGACAAAATTTCAATAATACACTAGCGCCATGTTGCCGCTCGACACCACTAGCGACATCTAGAGAACGGTGTGGCGGCCCGGACGATTGATTTTTTAACAGCTGTTTCGAAATAAAAACGTGACAATCGCGATCACCTTTCACTTTCAAACGGATAAGCATCGAAGTTACACGAAAATTACAAAATATAGAAATCGAATTAAAAAGGAGTACCGAAGCCCCCGTTCCTGCACATTTTGGCCACATCGAGCCGCAGCGGAAGTCGAAAATCATCGTGCCAGCGCCTACATTCGAAATCAGTGTAACGGTCAGGTCTTTGATCCCGTTTACTCCTATCCTATACGCATTTGTATTAAAACAGTATTTATTTTGTGTATCCAGGTAGTCTGTATACTTGATTCGGGTTTCAGTTATCCTGCACAAAATCGTAAGTACCTTATTTTTACTTAGACATAGACCTTACAAATGGGTGGTGAAGAAAATTTGTCAGTGCCTTTAGCTGGTTCCTCAGTTTCTCCAACGAGAAAACGGCTAAGCGATCTTTCCGATCTAAGAAAGCAACGCGGTAGTTTAAAAGCGAGGTTAACTAATTTAAATAAATTTAAATAAGTTTTTTTTTGCGGGTAGCTGTTGAAGTGAAAATACTGAAATTTTTTGTGCTCCAAAATTATTTTTAATTAAAGTTGAATAGTACCTTATGGTTATTAACTAACATCTTCGGTGCCATAGTTGAACTCTCATACATCATCACACACGTTATCTCCACTGCACCATGGATACAACAGCTGAAAAACTTCTAAGTAGCCTGAAGGATTTGTCATCAATGTTTAACAACAGAATGACTGAATTTGAGAAGAATCTCCAGCAGCCAGGTATGCGTGAATCCAATACTACTGTCAAGTCCATAGCAGCAGACTTCTCCACATTTAAAACTTTTATATGGAAGTCTCTTAGCATTATCAGATCCCAGATTGAACTCATCATATTGGATGTCGATCGTTTGGATGCTCATTCACGAAGAAAGGTTCTTTTGTTCCACGGAATCAAGGAAGATAAGGATGAAGATGTGCTTCCGAAGATACTTTCAATATTAAGCAACCAAATGAAGATAAAAGGAGTGGATGCTGACAAAGTTGAGACATGTCATAGACTTGGCACTAAAAGGAAAGATTTTTCAAGGCCTATATTGGTGCGTTTTACTGAAATGAAGCCTCGCATGTTGGTGTGGAATATGAAAACTTCATTGAGGGGTTCCAATGTAACAGTGTCAGAATTTCTCACTAAGGCGAGACAGGATATCTTTGCTGCAGCTCGTAAACACTTTGGAAAGAGAAAGTGTTGGTCCTCTGAAGGTACGGTCATTGTTTTGTTGGCTGACGGAACAAGAAAGAAGATCTTCTCTAATAGTGATTTACAACATCTCATACAAAAGTATCCAATTCAGTCTACGGAGGTCACAAAAGAGACGAAATGAACACTTGTTGCATACACTTTGTGATTTTTTTTTTTACTTTGTCGGATTATCATCTCAAATTCGACGGTACGTTGTTATTTCTGTACTTATTTATTTTTCAAAACTGTTTTACTTCTTCAAACGCATTTAGATTTACAATGTATAATATCGACATCCTACGTCAGTGTCATTACTGTCTAATGTCAGTTGTGTTTTTTCTAAGGAAGGCAAAGGAATCCAAAAGTGTGTTTACATACAGCCATACTTAAAATTAAATATAAACTCTTTTGCTTTCCACTTTTTATTATATAATGCGATGAGGATATTATTTCTGTGATGAATTTAAATTAAAGGTATTTTTTTTTTATCTGCCAGATCACTAATTAGATTGTGTATATATAGAATTTTCCATGGTGTTTAGAGTAGTCTTTTCACGTCAACTTAGGCACGTGGAAGATGATTTTGCTTATTCGGTTTCTGTTATTTTTTTTTTTTTGGAGTTATCTTAGTTTTTGTCTTTTATTATAAGTATTTATTTAACTATATACGTATATTTATTTAATATGGATTTGAATG